CAGGGCAAAGTGGGGTGGATGGGCCTTACTTTTGAAGCAGGATGATATTTTTTTTGCCTGCTGTATTTAATGCTCTATTGGGATCTCATGTTGGATTGGGTGTGTTTCAGCTCCTTGAAAGTAAGGGCCATAGTTCTAAAACTCACTGGTCGCTTGGGCTGGGCATTGGCATGAATGAAGGAGAATTTTTGTGTTCAAGCCCTAACCCAGCCATGTTGCTCCAATGAATGTGCTGAGATCAGACTCAACCAGGTAACTTTTCCTGCTGGTGTTTCCTTGAGACCTGACTCCAGTCCCTTTTGGTGCCAGACAGGAGGGTTATTCCAGTTAATAGAATGAAACCCTGATTCCGTTTCAAAAGCGTGTTGATGAAACTGTATTAAAAACCTCAGGAGGCACTGAAAGGCCAGTAAGGATCACTTGGAAGGTGAGCTGGCCTGGGTAGTTTTACCCTGCTGTGCTGGGGAGGATCTCCATGAGGTTATGTGGGGAAGCACTGCAGACTCTGCTGAGCCCTAGCTTCCAGCCCTTAGGTCACTGCCTTGGTTCATCACACCAGTGCTGGAAGTGAGGAGCTTGTGTGGATTTGGGGACCACCAGTACTAGTGTTTTTGCCTGGGGGCCAGAACTGAATGTCTCTCTTCCTTTTGGACCCATTTATGCTCTGTTTTCCTGGCCTCACTCAGGAGGTGCTAGACAGCAGTGAGAAATGTCAAGAGGACTTGATGGGCTGCCATGTTAACTTGGTGGAAGGATGAACTAAGGATGGGAAAAGGAGAATAGAGAGGCCCTTAGGTGTTCTAGATATCTGCAAAGAGCCATTGGGAAGAACTGGACCATAGAAACGCCTTGCTGTGGTGTGAGCAGTCAATGCTGCTGGAAGTTTGGGCTCTTAAGCAAAATAAGGAAGGCCTGTTTTTAAGGCTATTTGGACCAAAGGATCTCCAAAGGTCCCTTCCAACATCAATCATCTTATAGTGCTGGAGATTGGACCTGCATTAGTTACAGGGTGGCTGCACTGTGTGAGGGTAAATCTCCCCTGTTGCCCCAGCAGAACTGTGGAGATGTTATACTTGAAGGTAGCTGAGTTTCTGCTGCCTGTGTGGGGCCTTGCATAATGTTGCATTTTCTTTTTATATTCTGCTTCTTGTAAGCTGGACACCAATTAAGGCCAGTTGTGCTTTTTGATTGCTGTGATTGGACTGAGACCTGCCAATTTCATTTGTGGCTATTGACTGGCCATGAGGTGACAGTGACCCTTGGTCAGTCAAAACTCCAGCTGGAAAAAAGTTTGATGGTACCAATGATGGAAAGCTCTCCTACTGATGGCTTTGGTTTTTAAAGGCTCTCTAGGCTCCAAGAGGCAAGTTTTATACTGTTCCACCCACATGAAGTTTTGTCATCCTCTTGAAACCTGTGAGGATAAACACTGTAGTTGAAAATCTAGCCCACTGTGTGCTGTACCTATCAAACACGGGTTATTTAAGCACAGTCTATGGCTTTTCTGACAAGACAACAATTGCAAGATTACATGAGCTGTGCTTGTCAGTTCGGCTCTTTAGACAAAAAATACAGGTAAGGCATTAAAAAAAAATGCAGAACATTTTTGTGTGTGTGTGTTAAACCTCAACTGTTAAGTCTGATGAAGGATCAGGCTGTGCACAGATATCGGATCCCTGGTGAGAATCAAATTCTGGAGCCCAGAATTTTGCTGCAAAGTTTATACGGTGGGGATTCCTCTAATTACTTTCACTGGAAATTTACCTGACAGAGCTTTCCCAGGTAATGCAAGGCGTACGCGGGAGAGCCGCTCATGCGTTGACAGAGCCTTTGATTTTGTGCCAGGTTGCAAATTAAGTCTTTTGCCAAGGTACCCGAACACTTGCTCGTCAATTGCTTATCGCTTATTCATATAGTGCATCGAGCGCAGCTCGTTTCATCTGCTCGGGAAGGCAGCGCGTGTTGACAAAAGTGTTGTCCAAAGTTGCTGCATTTTTCTTTCCTCCCTCTATTTGGTCAAGTAAACAAGAATATTTCTCTCTGGAAAGCAACCTTGAATGTGTGTGCAAGCTGGAATTCTCTAATGAGCAAAGGAAAAATTTAATGTGTGTCGGTGACACATGGTGTAGGTTGATGTTTTGATGCATGGGGCAAATTTTGTCCTTCCTCACTGCTGTGAGGTGGTTCAACCAAGATGTGCTCCCATTCTGGGTTGACCTGATGGAGCCCTGTCTCTTCTGGTATCCAGTTAATCTGGGGTTGCCTCTGCTCCTACCTAGAGTGCCAGTGAGGATCTGGTGCAAAGCCCTAGCTGTGTTAGGAAAACCTGTGGCCAGGCCTCAGGGCACTGCAGGCAGCAGGGCAGAGGTTTTCTTGGGGTAAAAGACCACCTTGGGGGTGTCTGAGAGGGGAGGGCAGTAGGAAATCCTCACTGAAGTGAGGAAGGGGTTAAGCCCTGTAAAACAGTCAAATAAGAGTATTTCCATTCAGCAACTTTCACTAATGAAGCCCTTGCCAGGACATGACTGGCTCCCCGTGACCTGCTGGTCTCGGTGAGCTGGGGGGCCCAGGAGACCTCGCGCAAGGTTAGTCTTCCAGAGCGAGACGCAAAGCAGGAGCGATGGCCCGGCGTGGGGGAGCCTGTAAATCACACGGTTATCTTAATAGCGTGGGCTATTATTCTAAAGCAGTGGGGCTGAAAGCTAAATCCAAATGAAAATATAGTCAATTTGTCCATACTTTAGTGACTGAATGACTATGTAATGTCACGCCGCCCTGGCAATGTGGAGAAAAGGCAGAGGCAATTAGTGGGGAGGGCAAAATGCCTTTGTTTTCTCTTCAGCTTCCACTACAAGCCCATGCATGATGCCAGGTTGTGGCCTGGCGCTAATGGAAAGTCCAGTTTGAGAGTCAGTAAAGACAGGTAAGCCCAGTTTTTGCAATTATATGTGAAGGGCTGGGGAAAAAACTAGAGCAAATTCTCCTTTCAGACTTTTGTATTGGTCTAGAGGAATAAAATCTTGTTTTCCTGCTCCTTGAAGATTATAAATATTTGTTCTAGTCCAGACCTTGCTGCTTGGACCAAGAGGTCCAGCTTTTCTGCAATATTCTACAATCCCTACCACTAGAGGAACTTCTGGGATGGATGGGCTTCTAGTAGAGAAAATAAGATTTCTCTGGACTTGTCAGACCCTGGTAATGGAGATTTCTGGTTTTGGTGGTGATGGGGAAGCCTGGCAGGCATAGTGGGGAGATGGAGAAAGAGGAGTTGTTTTAAGGAGCCCTGTAATTCAAAGCAGCTCTCTGCCACTTCATGTGTAACCTGGTACTATTCAAATCTCCTGGCCTTCAGTCTGTCTACTGGATGAGAGCAGAGGGCCTGAGACTTGCTGTGGTTGAAGCACTGTGATAAACTGTCTTGTCCAGGCAAAGGGATCAATTTTAAAGCTGTAAGGTAGCCATCTGCCATCAAGGAAGTGCCTGTTGAAAGGTTTTGAGGGCAGAAATCCTGCAAGAACAGAATCATGGAATGCTTAAGGTTGGAAAGGACCTCTAGAGATCATCTAGCCCAACCCCTGCACACGCAGGGTCACCTAGAGCACGTGGCACAGGACTGCGTCCAAGCGGGTTTGGAAGATCTCCAGAGAAGGAGACTCCACAACTTCTCTTGGCAACCTCACCTCACTTGAGAGCTGCTTTTTATTGTCACACTTGAGTATGATGGGGTGACTCCTTCAGTCTGCCTGTGCTTGGTGGAAGGGTTGGACCAATTTGTTGTCTTTCAAGGCTGTTCCCTCACTGCCTATTCAGAACCAACTTGATAAAGCAACAGATCGATGCACAGCTCGGAGGCTATTGAGTGGCTTGTGAAGCATCAGATTTTCTTAGGTCATTACTGCTTTTAACAGGGTAAACAGCTATAGATGCACACAAAAAAAAAAAAAAAACTGTGGAAGCCACAATCTGAAACTCAACTGAGCAATAAATTTCCTGACCCAAGCTCTAATATGGGCTGTATCTATTAAATCCACATCTGGGGCAAGGCAAAATTTTCAGGTTAATGTAATGAGGAAGAGGAGGAAAATAAGCAGATGAGCTGTCCCTCCTGCCCCTGCTCTTCCTGAGGAGGAAGGGAAGAGGTGAGAGGAAGGAGGAAAAGCAGGGAGGAGAGGAGGACTCGGGAGCTGGGTTTAAGACCTGCACCTGGGGAAGAATCCAAGTGCAACTGCAGAAGAAACAAAGGAAAATGTGGAGAAGCAAAACCGAGGCTGAAAAATGAATAGTGATGGAAAGGTCTGGGGTGAGAGGAGCTCTAAAGAGGAGGCTTGCCCCAGGATCTCGTGTGACTTGCACAATCTGTTTAACAGCGATCGGTCATGTTCCTTCCCTGACACCAGCCGCAGCAGCAGCAGCTCTGTGCTGACAGGCACCCGGGATAAATGATTACTGACATATGCTAATCGGGCAGTCGGAGACAGGACATAAGAATACATCAAGGTGGTGCAAAACATGTTTCTTGGTCAAAACTCTCTAACTTGTTCAAGTACATTAGCTTCAGGAAGTTGCAAGCGGTCTCTGTTTTAAAACTATGGTTAAAAATCAATGGTGTGGCAAAAAAAGACCTCATGAGAACAAGGGCCTGGGTGGAGGCAGGGAGGCTCTTTGCAGTGGTATCTATCAATGCCAGGTATGATTTTGGCTGTGTAAACTCCCCGCAGGCCCTTCAGTGTGCTCAGATGTTTTGGAGTCTCCTTTCTGTTCTTCCTGCCTAATGCTTTTCCCTTCTCAAAATGCCCCCTAGCTCTTCACTTGAAGTTTTCCTGCAGTTTACACCACACACACACACAAAAAAAAAGGTTCAAACAAGTGCCCCAGAGTCCAGCAGGATGCATGGAAGAATCCAGGGAGATGTTTAGATTTTGCTTCTAGAACAAGAAAACTTCACTTGGACTTCCATTTGGATCAATTAAAGGAAGTGTCACATCCATCTGTAACCTGGCTAAACCCTCTGCTTGCTCTCAGAATATCATAAAGCAGGTTGTTTAGAGGCACCAAGACTGCTGGCTTGCTGGAAACCTTATTTCCATGTTTAAAGGACATCCAGCTGAATATGTCCAGTGATGTTTGAATATGTCCAGTGCAGGAGCATTGCAGGCTTTCTTGTACACTGAGCTCGGTGTCTGAGAGCTTTGTGTCTATCTTCATTGTGTGTTAAGGGTATAAACAGGGCATGTGGACAAGGTTAGAAGGTATCCCCACATTTGTGTAGACTCCATACCTTGTCCAAGCGGGGTAAGTGCCAGAAGGACTCCTCTTTTGCAGGTAGTGGGTGTTTTCGGAGAAGCGTGGTACGAGTTTCATAAGCTTTGCCTTTCTGTAACAAGATAAACGAGAAAGGTCTGAAATGGCCACACAGCCCTATTCATCAGGCCAGGGCCAAGCAACATAACGACACCGAGATGAGCTGGGCAAAAAGTCGGTTTGACACACTAGTGATCATGGGTCCCCTTTGGGAAAGTGTGATGCTGATGCTTCCCTGATCTGGGTCATCTTTCATATCCACGTGGCTAATGCTGATATGTAGAACAGTGATGAGGAAAGTATGGACAGGCTCCAGCGAGCCTGTTTCATAGGGTAGTGAGGTTTTTGCTGCCCATAGGAAGCCCTGGTCCAAGCTGGAGCCATGGGCCCCCACCAGCTCTGTAAGTCCTTCCTGCTGCCCCCAGCATAGGGAAAATTGCCCAGTTATCATTTGGGTGTTGCTCTCCTGGCTAATTGCAGCTTGCAGTGGTTGATAGTCCCAGCATGAGCCAGTGCAGGTACCAGGTGAATATTTTGGCCAACTTGTGCAGCCCTGGGGGATCTCTTTTGCTGTGTGGCCTAGTATGTAGCTTTTAGTTCAGTAATTGGTGGTTGCAGCTTCAGAAGTTGATGGAGGGACCTTAGTTATTAAAGACATCAGTCATTAATAGATCAGGTAGGGATGCATTTTCACAACATCCTAGTCTCATGCATTCATAAAATAGCTGCTAATTAAGAACACTGTGTTCTTGTTCTTCAACTATAAAGCATACTTTGTGATGGCAGAAAGCCCATTGAAATTGGTCATTACCATATTAGCTCAACTCTTCTTTGAGCCATTAACTAATAAACCTGTCGTTGGCTGCTTTTAAATGTTATTACAATAGTGCTATGTTTAATGGCACAGAGTTTCCCCCTAACAACTGCTTGGGTGCCAGCAGCAGTCACATGGTGCTGAGATCAGGGCTGGTGCTGGTCCTTTGAACCCTTGCTGCTTGTGCCCTCCTTTTGTCCTTTGTCACCTGTAACCTGAGCAGAGCTGATGCTTTCCTAAGGAATATCTGTTGGGTTCTGGCAGCAAGGGATAACGCTAAATGCCTAAGATAATTTGAAGTGTTAATTCCTTATTATGACAGGGACTTCTTGTATTGTTGCAAAGCAAAGACATGTGGGTGAAAATGAGAATTGGAGCTTCTGTTTTTATTGATATAAGGTGTTCAGCTGGGTACATGGAAATTAGAGACATATCAGTGTAGAGAGATGCTTAATGATGGCTCAATAGGTGTCTCAGCACTTGAGCATATCCTTAGAAAGGAATCTTTGTATATACATATGCATATATATCTATATACATATAAACCTGTTCCCTTTTACCTCTAGATCACTTTGAGGCACACACAGAGACTTGCACATCTGGTCTTTGCTCCCAGCATTGCTCAGCTGGACATGCTCTGGCCAGAGCCCGGCTCATCTCTGCTCGGAAGCAGCTGATCTTTTAGGCTTTGCCAACCTTGCAGCAGGCAGGGAAAAGGATTTCCCAGCTGAGCTCTCTTCCTGTGACCAGGAGACACCTGACCTGCTGTGGGCACCTGGGCCAGGTGGCAGTGCTGCCTGCCTGGGGCAGGGAAGGGAGAGCACGGGGTGAGAGTTATCACCTTTTTCTTTTCTTCTCGCTGGATCACTGTTGTTGCTCTCTGCTGCTCCATCCACAGCTCCTTGTACTTGTGTTGGAGGAGATCAAAGAAGGGAGTGGGAGCCCTAGGAAACATTAAAAAGGCAACAATAATCTCCAGGGTTAATGCCTCTGTTTGCCTCCCTGTGCTGTTTCCTTGCTTTGCTCCTGATGGAAAATGTGAATGGTGGCAACATGGATCCTGCAATCCTGCAATGGGAAAGCCTCTGCCTAGAGCAAGAATCAGACACCCCTAGAAGCACAAACTGCATGTGCTCCTATATCAAAAGGCTCTGCTCTCCCTATCTGTCCAGAGCAGCTGTGAAACACCAGGGCTTCTCCTGGGCCTCCTCCAGGAGGTGGGTTTCTGTGGAGGGGTCTCCTCACTGGGCCACAGCAAAGGCTGCTTCTGCTGCTTCCAGGTTTTCAGCAGGAGTCCATGTGGGTTCAGTAGCCACCAGCTTTTAGCAATCTGAAGGATCTTTGACAGTGGCAGAGGGTGCCAGCAGTGCATATGCAAATAGCAACTCTTCTGTTTCGTGTTCCTTCACCCCTGCCGTGACTTTTATTACTTAATTATTGCACGCCACATGCTTCAAAACAGCCTAATCTACGGTCGTGTTTTCTAATGATACTAGATGTGCAATCCAGCAGTCTATGTCCCAAGGGGGCATTCACATCGGAGGAGACATCCTTCTGCAGACCTCCCGTTTCATAGATCACATGCTGCAGGGCTTTTCAAGGCTTTGCTTACAAATCAGCTGTGCTCCAGACTGTCATCTGGAGACACCCGGTGCCCAAGGGGACACTGTCACTTACCCCTTGCCTTTGCTTTTTCCCTGCGCTCCTTCCCTTTCAGTTTGGTGTTTCATGCTGGTGAGAGTAGGGCAAATTATTTACAAGAAATAGAGGATCTGGCAAAACTGTAGGATAGCCCTGACAAATGCAGAGTGTTTTATTGCCTGGTTGGGTCTTCTGTCTCATTGCATGGTGTATATTTTGGTAGGAGTGTCACAAATACAGCAAGCTGTGCATATGAACTTGCTTCCTTAGCCGGTCCCACCCTGGGATAACTCCGAGTGGGATCTTGGCTCTCCCTTGTGTCACACTGCTAGCCCCATAGGCAGCAAAACTGGTGGAAAACACCCCAGCCAGTGCTGGCATCACTATGGATAGGAATGGCCATGCTAGATGTCTGCTTCCAAAGTGCAGGGGCTTTGCTGTCCAAGGAAAAGCTTTCCAGGTGTGCCCAGATAGCAAGGAGGAAAGGAGGACAGCACTGAGGCCATGGGGAGTGTTTGGTTATTGATTTTTTGGTAGCTGAATGTGTGCTTATATCTCTGTGGAGGTGACTTTTACCATCTCTGATGGGCCAGCCAGTTGGTGACTGATTAGTCCACAGCTGGCTTGTAAGTAAATGCTTGAAAGGACACATTTGGGCTGATGCTCTTCAGAGATTCTTCCCTGCTGTGTGATTAATCACATTTAAGTTCTGATCCAGCAAAGTATAGAATCATGCCTGGGATAACACATGCATGAGCCACCTCTTTGAAATGAGTAGGAATAACCAGTGTGCCCAGTTACACACTTAGGTGCTGCTGTGGCTGTAGAAAGTGATGCTTCATTTGGGTGGTCTTGGTCCCTTAGAGAGAATTTTAGAGAAAGTGGGGAAGGCAGGAGGGGATAACAGGTGAGTTTGTTCCAGTAACTTTAGCCAAAGCAATTTCAGTGGGAAAGCTTCTCTTTGAGTCAAATGCTGATTCCACTAGAATGGAGGGAAATTTTGGCCCTATTTTAGTGCAATTTGGAACTATGCCAGATCTTTTCCTTTGCAGCTGACCTATGGGAAACTCTTCTCTCCCTTAGTGTTACCTAAGGATGGGAGTGAACTGCTTATGTGCTGTTTTCTTTTGTCACTGTCCCAGTGTCACTGCTCTGAGCTGAGAGGATTTTGTTGTTGCTCTTCTCTGTGGATGCTGTGGAGAGTGGGGCAGCATCCGCTGCAATCGCTTATTGTGGATTAAAACTCATCTTGTTCAGAAGAACTCAGATCTTGTTTTGGCACAAGCACCCTGCCACAGAGAGGGAAAGCAAAGAAGTTCTGATAGGCTGTAACAAATTATTTATAATTGTGGAAAAAATAAACAGCTGCTTCCTTTTATAGTCAAATAGTTGGAGTCACTTCTAATGCTGACATTTCCTAAATATTTTAAAGCTTATCTATGCACATTTTCAAAACTATTATCCCTGAAACAGTTCCTGCCTCTTTAATACACTCTCTATAAATTACTTTCAAGAGTCAAGATTTAGACCTACATTCAATTGAAATGACAAGCAACTGCTAACTTGGTTATAAAATGCGGTACAATATTCTGCCAGAAGTCTCTTAGAAAAGAAGCCACAGCCTTCTAATGGGTTATTTTACTGTAAAAACAATGTTAAAAAGTATAATAAAGTATTAACAATATTAAAATAAAACAGTGTAGGCCTTAAATGAGCTACAAACTAGTTAAATCTATTCTATTCAATGTGAGCCTTCAGTGCTTTGCAGCTGATACCTCAGAGCTGGGATTTATCTAAAATGAAGGCACTAGGGACATGCAAGGGAAATGATAATTATAATTTGCAAACATTAGGCTGACACTTTTTTGTGTATGTGTGTATAAATTCTGACAGCTGTGATTTGTGTGGTGTGCCAAATAGTGCTCTATAGCATGTGAAGGGCTCCCTTTCTGGCAGGCCGTCCTCATAGCAGCAGCTCATTAAAACTTTGGAGAAGGAGAACTTGCCAAAAACAGGAAGGCGTCAGAACCATCTGAGGGGCTTTTGGTACATGCTCGTTGAAAGGTGTTTGAGAAGAGAGCCTTGGGTCTGACAAACTGGAATTTTAGTACGCCTCTCCGTTCACAGTGGGGCAAAATAATTGGTCATCAGTGACTACTAATTTGGTTTAGTAGCCAGAGGCGGTTTTTTTTTTTCCTGGAAAATCAATGACAGTGCTGAGATCTGTTCAACGAGATTCAGCTCAAGACGGGTCCTCATTTAGCTCTTGATGCTTCTTCCACTGGAGACAGCTATTTTGTTAAAATTAAATTAAAATCTATCTATAATACTCAGCCATGAGAGCAGCACCCGTCAATGCCATGCTGCTCTTGAGGTTTCAAGGTTGTCAGTCTCCCCTCAAACTTATTTTCAAAGGTTTACATGAGTCGAGTAAAAAGCTACTTGGCAGAAGTGCATACAAATAACTTTGCTCAGGAAGGGCTTTTATAGCGGCTTAAAAGATGCGATCAATCTAATTGCTAAGTTGCCTTGTAAAAGGGTTAAACGGTGGCTTATGCTTGCTTTTTTTCTATATAATTCAAAAGTCTGGCTTGAGTATTTCAGCATAGCAGAGGAAGGCAAGGATGGACCTTTAGAGCTGCTCGCTGTGTGCTGTGGCTCCTGCAGTGTCGCCTCCCGTCGCTAGCTAGGACAGGCTTTGGAGCGGGCGAGCAGAGATTTGCACAGAGCACAGGCTCCCTGGTGGCTCTGCAGCTGTTTGGGTTGTGTTGAAAACTACTCCTAGGAACCATGTTCAGCCCTCTAATTTCCCTGACTTTTTACTGGCAGCAGGATCTGGCACTGCCTGGGTACTTATGCAATAGATGGATGGTCTCACTTTTTAAACTGTGCTGGTATTGCACGGTATCACAACACCACCAGCTACCCTGGAACTTTAATTCTGTCTCCAAAAGATGAATGATGTTTCAGGTTTTTTCTTTTGGATTTTAGTCCATGCTTGCTTTCCTCAGCCTAAAAGGACCTGTGAAACAGCCAGAATCTTCCTATGGGCTCTTCAAGCCCAGGTACCAGCCAGCCCTGCGAGGCCCTGGTGTCGTTATGTTCTTGTGGATTCACTTTGTGATGCGATGGATTTGTCCCATGGTAAAACCGCCTGTGTCCAGTGATCTTCCTTTGCGTGTGCCCGATGACGGTGGCTTCATTTGAAGCAATCAGTTCTAGCAGAGGGGGATGTTTCCAGCTTGTTCTCCAGCATCTCCAGTGCGTGCAACTCCTTGGTGCAGACCCTCTTCAGCAAAGCGAGAGCTGGGGGGACTGTGATGCTGCTCGGGGGAGCTGCTGGCACATGCAGCAGTGAGACATTAAGGTTCAGGTACCTCTGTCCTAGAAGGGGGGTTTATAGTGCAGGAAAACTCTGATTACAGCTCCCTTGTACCTCTATGCTGTCTCCCTTCCTCCCTCGTTATGGGAGGGCTGGAGCAATCTATCTCCTCTTAATTTGTCTCTGCTGAGACGGGACACGACTGCAGCTCCAGCCTGGTGCAAGAGCCTGCGCACGGTCCCCGCATCCCCCTGCAAAGTGCCTGGCTCTGCTTGCCCTTAATTGTTCCCTTTTGGCTAGTGGACCTGTCTGCTCTAACAAGGGCAGTGAGGAGGGCCGAGGTAATTGAAGCACTTAGCTGCCCTCACATTGCCTCCTGCAGCTAATTAGGAAAGAGCCGCTGGGCTCTTTGTTTCTTTTAATTGTTTGTGGGTTTTGCCTAAGAGTGAAGGGTAGGGGAGGGATGTAGAGGTAGTGGTGAATTCTTGACTTTGAAATCTGTATAAAAGGTCACTTGCAATTTGTTAACGCTTTGGCTGGAGTGAATTCAATTAGCAGTCATGGGAGCCCCTGCATGCACGTGTGTCCTAGGGAGAGGTGGGGAAATGAGCAGGGCACAAATGCAAAGGCTCTTCATCTTCCTAAGAAGCTTGTGGGCTACACAGGAAAGTTATAGGCCCCTTACAGCTTTATGGTACTCTAAATAGGCTGTGGCAATAAACCCATGGAGAGGCCTGAAAGATCATTTTTAAATGATTTCCACTTGTCCTCACTTTCCATTAACCACTGAGGAAAATAACAAGAGAAAAATTGGTGGGAAACACTCTGGGACCAATTTTTTTTTGCAGTCCTTGTGCTGGAAAAGCTCCCAATTGAAAAAGTGAGTTCTTTGCCTCTTTGGCAACTGCAGGGTCTGTGCTGTTGAAGCCCTGATTACCCTGAATTTCTGAAGCTTCTATACAAGCCTTGTAATTTGGATGA